TCTGATATTAATTCTTATGTGTTTTAAATCAGTTTAATGGGCCGTTCGCTCACTTCCATAATCATTCATATATTTGTTTATACCTTTAAATTGGATTAAATCTATTCATCAATTTCTAAATGCATTCATTTCTCACATATTTCTCTAAACATTTGTATAAATAATTGTGTTTTCAATATTAATCAAAAGTCATTACAAAAACAAATAGAAATTTATTGTATAACTATTTTGTTTAAATATCTTATAAATAATATTTGATATTATTTTGAGAATATTCTGATTGTCATTATTGTGCTGATAGTTGTTGTGAATGTTGTGCAAGAATCGCATCAACAGTGTTCAACACCCGTCCCATAACACCCCTCCCAATCCCTCCCATACCTGCACTTCCCTATACTTCCTCTACTTTCCAACGAAACCTTAATTTCGCTCAAAAATAGGACACATTTGAATATTAGTGTGCATTCAATGCATTCAATACACTATTTCTATGATATAATGCTGTAATACTGACAATACATTCGCTGACACCATAGGCGCCACTCATTCAGGAAAATGCTTACAAACACTCAAATGTCTTAAGGCTTAACATTATTATCACAAAAATTCAATTAAAACAAAAACATAAACATATATCAAGTTTTTCATGACTACAAACAACTATGGATTTAATGAATAGCATTGAGTTGTGGGTAACAGTAGTGTGAATGATGTGGTCAAGTAATGTCTGGGGGTGTACGGGTGCCTCCGTGGCGCAATTGGCTAGCGCGTTCGGCTGTTAACCGAAAGGTTGGTGGTTCGAGCCCACCTGGGGGCGACCCTATTTTTACATACCACCATGCTCATTCACACATTGAAAACGTATCCCACTTTTTGCTCGCCTTATAAATGCTATGAAAGTATTTTGAGGCCAAACATACGCTAACCAGTCGTCAAATTGAACAGAACTTAACTTAATATGTCATTCATTTGATACTTTCTTCACTCACTTTCTCTGTCTTAATGCTTGCGTTAACTTTATTTTGAAGCAAACTTTTAGTTTTTGGTCAGTTATTTGATTGAATCGATTTGTCCAGACATGCAGTCATTGATTGACTGCATGTGATAGTGGCCGACACGATATCACTATAATGTAGTGATTATAACAATTAATTGTAACCATAAATATATAATTTACAATTAAAGTTAGTCTTAAATGAATGATTGAATTAATTGTGAAGTTTGAATGGTATGAATGGCATGACTAGTGGTTCCGTCTATGGGTAGAGATGGTAGAGCTGTGACCACACCTCACATGAGCTGACATAAGGTTGTGTTGATTGCAATCATTGCAGGCTTTGTAGCCATTGTTGTACTCATAGTTGCATTGTTTGGCCATTTGTGCCGTCGATTGTGGTCTTATTATCGCATATTTGGTCCATATTTTGGTTATAATTTGATTGAATTAGTTTTGAATCAGTGTTTGTATTGATATATTGATGGATGACATGAAAGACCGGATGAATGGTATGATTGGAGATAAGGATAGGGATCGCGAGAGAGGCCGCGACCGGCGCTCGAGTCCTGCGGGCCGTCGCCGTCGGTCTCGCTCTCCGCTGAGCCGTCGGTCTGCGGACCGATCGGGCGGTCATTCGGGTCGAGACAGTCGGGCGTCGCGTCGGGTATATGTGGCTAACGTTCCGTTTGACGTGAAGTGGTCTGACCTGAAAGACCTGTTCAGAGATAAGATCGGAAACGTCTCCTATTGTCAGCTCTTCGAGAATGAGGACAATAAGAGTCGCGGCTGTGGTTTAGTTGAGTTCCAGGACTCGGCGTCGGCCCGAAAGGCCATCGATATTCTTCATCGGTATGAGTATAGGGGACGGGAACTCGTCGTCAAAGAAGACTTGGACTGCGAACGCGACCGATGCGGTCGACTCATCCTTCCCTCCCGTCGGGACAGAGAGCGGGAACGAGACTTTCGGTCCGACGCCTATGACGTGGACGTCGGCGCCAATAGTCAGTCGTACAACACGTATGGATTGAGTCCACAGTTTTTAGAGTCGTTGGGAGTGAAGGGTCCGCTCAATAATCGCATTTTTGTGGCGAATCTCGACTACAAAGTCGGTGAACACAAGTTGGAAGAGATCTTCAAATTGTCGGGAAAAGTGACTGACGTTAAGCTCTACACCGACGCCACGGGAAACAGCAAAGGACACGGAACTGTCGAGTTTGAACATCCCGTCGAAGCAGTTCAGGCCATCTCCATGTTTCACAACCAGAAACTCTTCAGTCGGGCATTAAGTGTGCGAATGGATAAATACGATAACGACGAACCGACCGACCAGTCGACCCCTTCCCAACTGCCCGCCGGACTCGACAACGTCGGCAAAGGGCTCGGCATAGGTGGACAGCCGTTGAATATCCAGAAAAGTATGTTAAGCACGTCTTCAACAACAGCTGTGCCCACAATTCAGGCGCAACCAAATCCAGTTCCTGCGCCCAACGCTACGCTCAATGCGTTAACCAATTTGGCCGGAAATCTGACACAATTGCCGTCATTTGCGTCTTTGTCTCAATTGAACACAAATCCTTCAGTCAATCCCGGAATGAGTGGTTCGCAGATGTCTAACATGTCTAACGCGACGATGAATAGTGGTCTGAATATTGCGGGTTTTGTCAACTCTGTTGACCGATCCCTTTCCGGCTTAGGACACAACACCAGTTCCAGTCTCTCTAATTTGAACCCTTCGGCTCCTAATCTGAATTCTGGTTTGAATTCGTTCGCCAATACGGCTCAGAACGTGTTGGCATCCCTTTCCAGTGTCACTCACAACTCGCAACCACTCTCTGGTGTGTCCTCCATGTCTGGTATGCAGCAAATGCAGAACATGTCTAACATGTCCAATATGGCTGCCCCTCACAACATGTCCAGTATGTCTAATATACCCAACATGTCTGGCAATATGTCTGCCGGCCATAACCCGCACGCGGGTATGAATGCCGGAAATAACGGCAATTTAAGTGTTTATAGCACTTATGAACGCGAGTTTCGGGACGAGAGAGTCCGCACACAACCGACTCAACAACAGTCGGACACAATAGTAGTGCGGAATTTGCCGCAGAGTTTCAGTTGGCAGAACTTGAGGGACAGATTCAATGAGATCGGAGAGGTTCGGTTCGCCGAAGTCAAGAGTCACGGCCAGGCGATCGTCCGCTTCAGGTCTGAACGCGACGCTCAGCGCGCCGTCGACCTCATGAACGGCATTCGTATCGATAACCGACCGATTGAAGTCAATATCTATTGATTGATCCAATCGAGTGACTCATTCATCCAAATTCTAGTTGTAATCATGTCATGTCCTACCAGTCCTTTCTGTGCGTTCTCTCTCTCCCAATCATCACTCGTTAATTGATTTAAATTGAATTAATTGTAGTTTTCTGTCGATTGTCTTCTGTTCACTCAATACATTGTAATATAATTTTTTCCTAATAATTCATTTGTGAAAATTTATTCAAAATTTGTTTTTTAGTTTTCATTCAAATCGACAAATAAACACTTTCTCTATGTCTCAATCGATTCCTATTGTTTTGATTTAAGTCTAAACTAATATTTTCCTTAAATTCGAGATTCAATTGTTATTTATATCACTTTTTCATTTTATAAATTAGTTTTTTTTTGTGTTTAACGAGTTTCATATGAATTGACTATATTTTTATCCAAAATATTTGTACTCGTATTTGACCACAATTTCTAATAAATTCGTTTGTATTGTTTCACATCAATTCAATCCATACATCAATTGTTTAATTAAAAGCACGTTTAGGTTTGAGAACAACGGCTAATTTACATTATGGTAAACGCAAATTATGTGAAATACGTTTTTGGATTTACATGGTCATTTTTATATAGTCAACCTTTTGAAATTCATATTATGCGCCATGGTTAAAGTGAATGAAACAATGTGAACTGATATTACAGTTAGTCAACTAACAGTAATCAACATTAAGAGAGAGTACTTTGAAAAGTTGACAATCTATTTACAACCAATAAGCTATATAACTGTAAACTCAAACATACGGTACATGTATAAATTATATAACATCAATAGCATCGATATAATTAGAATTGATAAGAATTACCCATGCACAATCATACATGATCAAAATTACAATAATCAATAAAAATGAATATCTAATCTAATCTAACTCTATATCAAAATAATGACACTTTAAACTTAAAAAAGTTGATGATATTGTTTATAAGAAGGCACTGATCAAACTAGAGTCAAATACTATAGGCATTCATCGAGCTAATAGTCCTCCATACAAATTGGCCATAGACTGTACTAAAGAAATGATAGGGCAATCAAATAGCGCAACATATTATTGCTATGGCTTTAAGCTCAAAAGGAACAGATTTAGTGTTGAAATGGCCTAGGTCGTTCTAATGGATATCGACGTGTTTGGTATGGTCTTCAAATATGTTTTCCATTGAGATAATGTGCGAAATGGCCACAAATGAGCCAATTATGGTCAATATTCCAAATTCACAGCGTTTATACTTTGCATGCATACAAAGCATAGAAAAACATTCAGCTGGATAACATTTGGTGAATGGCCCAGTTTGGTGTGAATCACCACTTTTCTAATTCAAATGTTGTCATTTTTAAATAAATTGAGAAAATATCAAGTTTAGGTGAATTTTGTCCATATTCAACAAATATTGGCAATAGTTGACGACATGTTGTATGCAGGGTAAATCTTGCTATATATAACACATGAATATTACATGTAATACACATGTATTATACAAATGTATTATTATATGATTCTTATAATTCTTACAATTCTTGAAAATTCATTTTTGAAAAACATTTCAAAGTTTTGGCAAAATTATGATTTGGTGTTCTCATGAATAACGTTGGGCTGAAAACGTTGGTATCGATGGTAACGGCAAACACAATGACATAATCGCTTATTTTGAATGTTTGCCAAAACTGTTAATCATTTGATTCATTCATTCATACATTCAATGTTAGCGTTGAGTGAATTGTAATGCAGTTTTCATTCAGTGTTTTGTTTGACAATTTGTCCCACAATTTGATTGTTTCAATGCTTTGATGTGTTTCTAAATGACAGCAAACATGAGTGAGAAGTGTGTGAAGAAGTTAGTAATCGTTGGACACGACCTCTCACTGCAACCCATCGTCGAGACGGCGGCGAAGGTATGTGTCATTGGGTTTGTGTTTGTCATGTATTGTCACAAATGGCCTGAGTTTGGGGTTAAGGGGTGGGCAGTGATGGCCAGAGTGTGGGCATCGGGTGTACGGATGTGTAGTAATGCAGAGACAGTCAACTCATGCAATGGTTAACTATGTGTGCGATTGTGAGCATTGGTTCACTGCCTGAACACCACTTCCCCTCCATTTCCTCTATTACTTGTCATTCAATAGCTTTCAATTGAATTCATTATAACATTATATCCATTACTCCATTCAGTCTATGGAAAGACATTGAAGTTTGCATTCATTACACAATTAAATGTTTAGACTTTTAAAGCATACGAAATAGACTTCAATATCAGTTACAGTCATTGTGTGTTAAAAAAGCGCTGCAAATACAGTGTACTATAGATTTAGGTACAAATCAGTGTATAATGTCTACCATTTCTGTCCAATTAGTCTAATCTATTGATCCATCAATTTATATATCAATTAATTTATATAAATTATAATCAATTTATAACTTTTTTTAACTTCTTATCAAACATGTTATGAGTTATATATTTTATTACAACTTTTATTATTTGATTATTATTTAATTATAAATACAATATAACTATTTCTTTATGTAAATATTTAAGTAATTCACGCGAAATATAATAAATTAATATTTTATCATTTGAAACATAACTCAATGTTTCCTATAATTAAAATAAAAACAATAAAATTAATGTGATTTTTGTCGGCAAAACCACTTTCGCACAACTTTTTATACAAAACTATTAAACACAACAATTGAGTGATTTTATGGTTAATTAGTGTTAATCTGTGTTTTGAGATTAGGATTGTCTTTATTTTTATTATTGTAACTTCTTTGTAATAATAATTACATATTATATATATTTATTGTAAAACTTTTAACACAATCTCTACATAATTAGAGGATTTGAAGCAATTATTGAAATAAATACTATATTTCCAGAACTTAATAAATTAAACAAAATATAATTTAAAAATAGTGTTTTATTAAGTTTTTTAAATGGCTATCTTATAAAGGTTTGTCGTATAAATCGAGTTGCCGTATAAATATGCCTTTTCTACCCCAATACAAATGAATGACCATGGTTGACCATAGTTTTGTTAATCTAATTATATTTAAATGTCAAATGTTTTTCCAAATATTTTATCAATTGTAATAAATGTTGAAAACATAGTTAATAATGACTTGGGATGTGTTTGGGGTGATGTTTGCGTGAATGTCATATTTTATTCGATTGACTTATGGTTAAAATAAAATCATTGTTTGTTTTTTAAAGCACTTTAATATTGAGATCCAATTGTACGACGAGTCAAAAGATGAGTGTTTTGAGAGTTTGGACAAAGAGTCGGTTCTATATGTTTGCGACACTTTTAGTGGACATATATTTGATGAGTTGATGAAACACAAGAAACACATCATTAGTCCCATTGTTTTGCAACAATGCGTCGATCAAAATACTGTAAGACTTTGATTATCATTAAAGTTAACGATTGAATAATTGTATTGATTTGTCGCACACAACACAGCCTTTGCCTCAACCAAAGTATCCGTTGTATAACTATTTTCTTAAGGACGCCATCATCTGCTTCTCTCCCACTACTAAAGATGAAACCGTAAGGCATAGACATATTAAGCATTGATTATACGCTTTTAATATATTAATTATATTATTTAGGAAATGGTTAACCATTTCTTGAATAGAATCCGTTTTATGAGCGGTCAGAGCAGGAAAGACATGAAGAGTGGAAAGTCTTTCGACAGAACCCATTTGATTGAGAGCCGAACCGATACTAATAATTACAGAGTATTTTTTTGTCATATTTTTTCTAAGAAATAAATATTAATGAAATTATTATTTTTGTTGTTCGTAACGCCAATAGTGTGCTGTTATTTACGGAATTCCAATACTTTTCAAAGAATGGATTGAAGAGTTGTGGCAACACAGGAATGACTCGCACTTTGATCCCAATGACATGAATCTAATTAATAAGTTTAAGATAAAAGCGTTTCATGGCTTGGGTTTGGCTTTCGTTGGATTCTCGAAAGAAAAGCCGTTAGAAGTGAATGAAAGGGAAGAGATGGAAATTTTGACCAAAGCATTTGATGGTCAAGTGGTTGACCCCTACTCTAACAGCTGTACACATATTATATTGAATGCCAACAAAGGCGATAAAATCGACATTAATTTTGATCAATACGAGAGAATACCTGATAATGTCGTCTATAAAAACGTATGAATTTGTTGTCTTTCCTTTAATTTAAAGTTATTAATATTTTGTATTAATCAGTGGTTCACAGAATCGGTTCACATTAAGAACCGCGAAGAAGAGGAAATCCACCACTACTTTGTAATTATTAGCATAGAATTTATTTATTAAATGATTGATTAATTAATTATATTTAAAGTCACAAAAATTGCGAGAACTTTGTCGAACTCCTTCTACGTGTGGCAAGTCTTCTGTCAATGGTTTGGGTGTATTGAGTCCTGACTACGACATATCCTTCTCTTTGGACTCATCTGTTTGTGAGTATTTTTAATGACAATTTGACACATTTTTATGTTTGCTTTTTACGGTCAATATCTTAATAATTGCATTAATACAGCGAAATCGAAATTAGATGCCGATCTGAAGGCATTGGACCAAAAGTCCAAATCACACACTTATCACGTCTGTTATGAATTGTGTGAAAATGAGGCCAATTATGTCAAGATTTTAAAAGCCATCCTTTCGGTAGACTAGAAAATATCAATAAGTTTATGACAATTAATATTTGGTTTGAAACAGATATTTAGAGAACCGCTCATAAACCACAGCGAACCACAACTATTGCCCAATGATATTGAATTGAAGACAATATTTGGTTGTTTGCCGCCACTCATCGAAGTTCACGAACAAATTCTTAAAAAGCTAGAAAATATTATCCAAAACTGGAGCGAAGATAACGAAATCGGCAAAGTTTTTGTTGAACACGTAAGACAGACATTAGCCACACTTCCGTTGCCAATTGTGTATAATGCCAACAAGAATCATGTTTAATTGTTAATGAGTTTATAATACTGTTTAAACTTTATATTAATTGCAAACAGAAAGTGTGGTCTCTTTTTTGTTTGTGTATTAAAACGATTCCTTTTCCAATAGTCTCAACAGTTTCTGACCGCTTATCCACAATATATTAATTATCACGAGAAGACCCAAGAAATGATTAATGAATGCATAAAAAAATATCCGAAATTTGAGTCATTCCTTAAAGTAATTTTAAATTTGATTAAAAAAGGGATGTTTTTAATATAATTGTATATAATATAAAAGGTATCGCAAACAGACAAACAATGTGGACGACAAACTTTAAAGGAATTGCTTATAAACCCAATACAACGGTTGCCAAGAATCGAACTTTGCTTGAAAGGTAATGTATATATTATTTCTTATCTGTTTTATGACATTTGTTAACAAATGATTTTTAATTTAAAGCATTACTCGACAAAACGCCAGAAACAAAATCCGATTACAAATCACTGAAAGAAGCGCTGAATACTATCGTCGAAGTGAATAAGTATGACATGACTTAAACATTGACACGACTGTAGATTAGATGTAATTTTAAATATTATCTTTTATTAGGCGAATAAATAAGGGAAAGGAGAAAACTGAGGGTCAGATGAAAATGTTTGATATCATAAATGACATCGAGGACTGTCCGCCAACTCTACTGTCCTCTCATCGCCAGTTCATCGCCAATTGTGACGTTCGTCTCCTAATCCTAAACGAAGCAAAAGAAATCACCAAATTTGATAACTATTTGTTTACATGTATTTTGTTCAATGATTTGCTTATGGTATGAATTTTTGTTTATATTACATTTGAATTCTTTATCTAATATTATATTTAATTAGTTATGCAAAAAGCGAACGCTTAAGCGAACCAATTCATTGACACAGAAGGGATCAACTAATTATCCAAATTCTGCTGGAATTAAGAAGAATTCATCGAAGAAATCGTTTAAACACATCGAGACTATAGAATTGTCGAGAATTAAATATATAGTGAATGACAAATCCGATGGTATGAATACTGTTTGCGGTTATCAATGGTTTTCTTATTTTAATTAATTTACAGAATTTTCCAATTGTTTTGCAATTATAACAATTCCATTGGCAAACGAACGGTCATTCTCTGCCTATCCATTTGAGGTGAAAACACCAGAATTTGATAAACACAACTTCATGGATCACATCACACAAACCATATTACAACTTATGCCAGACTTCTCTCAAGTAAAATACAAAACCATTTAATTTTATTAAATTATTTATTCAAACATTTTCTTATTTAGGAGAATATAATACGAGAACAGTCTTTCAGGGAATTAGACTTCGCCTGTTCTAACGTAATCGCCCGAAACGTCAGCAAATCCAAGTAACTATTGTTTAAATGTTTTTGTTTTATCTGAATATTAAAATGTAAATATGTTTTGTGTGACAGATATGCCATTTATAGGACTAAAGAGAAAATCAACCGAACGTTTTCAGTGCGAAGACAATCACTGGCACCGGCCATGTCTTTGGAGTCATTACATGTGCCTCCACTTCAGTCATCACTTCCGCCGTCGTCTCCATCGACGGGTCGACGGATATCTCGTATGTTTTCCGGTTTTCTGAGCCCTAAAACGCTTCCGAATCGCAATTCGAACCGATATTTAAGTTCAATGACTTCAATGACAAGCCTTAACGTGAGTTAACTTTACAATGAAATAACTCTATGAATGAATGATTTGTTTCAAACGTCCGTAGATTTTGCATTAATTAAGTCATATCCTCTACACTACAGGAAAACTCAGACATTGAGATTGACTCCAACTTCAGTCTTCCCACGACTCCCGCACCGCGAAAGAAGAACAAGTGCTCAACAAATACTGAACACATTTTGGAAATTTAATACATTTTTTAGATTAATTTTGTAAAATATTTTCATTCTTTTTTATACGATATTTCATAATATTTTCTGTAAATTTTCGCACATTTTTCTAAAAGCCATTCATTCTTATAAGATCTATATTTTCTATGCATTATTTACTCGATAAACATTTTTTATATATTATATAAATACAAATGATTTAAATGAAGGAATCAATGACACAAATATTTGCCAAATTCTTTCATAAAATAAAAATGTAGTCAAAATTGCTATCATTTTATAATAAATTGATGAGTTGTTGAAAAAATTGACGCGTTTTTGGAGATTATAATTGAATTTAATTGTAATGTATTTTGTAAGATGAAAGCAGTGATAGTTGTAATACCTGTCAAAAAACATCGATAACATTGTGTGCTATATGTTTTGTGCACACATTATGGTTTGTGTGAAAAGCGAGCAGTTATTAGTAAAACTAACAATTCTGTGGCTTTGGGTTCACACGAGTCTAATCTATCATTTTGTATGTGAAACCGAGTGTTAGTACAGTATATTAAATATAGTTCTCTATTTAATAAGGCATACGATTTGTGTATTAAAACACAAGTTTTGTGGACTAAATTCACAACAGATATGTTGCCATAGGTTTATGGATTTATCTCAACAAATAGTTACTATATATCAGTAATTATAAGCATTTTATTTGTAAGAATAGTTGAGATATTGAATTGAATGCTTCGGTGCAGAGCGTTATAAGCATTAGTTAGCCTTTTATGCTGTCTTTGCATCACTTATCCAAACAGAACATCACATCAGAAGCACATCACTAGCATTGGGAGCACTGGAGGCACGCAATCGCCGACAACACCAATACTACACTATTCTCTAGAATATACACTGAATATTATTTACAACATCAAAATCATTTGAATCCAAAGGCTTTTTATTTTCATATGACTTTTAATTGTGTGCAAACATGTTTTGAACGCCAAAATTCAAGTCCAGTCCACTAAATCCGCTAATCATTACAATTCTAATCAATATATAATTATATAGCAATTGATTCTTATAATTAATAATTAAACCAATTCTTGTTAGAATTTGAAAAGTATTTAATTAGTGCTCAAAATAATTGTTGTTAAATAAAATACTATTGTTCTAAACTCTATTGCTTTCTATTGTGTTCAATAAATTCTGTAGTTTTGTCTCAATTGTGATCAAAATGACTGATATTTTAGATATATGTAAAACTAAAGGATAAGAATAAATGTTATCCAATAATGAGATGGATATCAACTAAAGTCTCATTATTTAAATGTGAATATTATTAACACAATTCTTTGTACAGAATATCAGAATATGTGTACTATATATGAATATATGGAATAAATTGAGTAAATTCTAAATTTAAATTAACATGTTAAATATTTGTGTTGACAGTCGACTTTTGTGTTTTACCACATATTTTGAACATTTCTTTAAACATTTACATTAAACGTAACCTCTTTTCTCGGATTATCTCTTCATTTGCCATACAGTGAGTCCACTAATTATATACTTTAATGTCATACTTAATTCTATTATTCATTCATCTCAAACGTGATCTTTTTGTTAAAAATTTAAAAATAATGTTTTATAAATATGATAATTATTTAATTACAAAAAATTCTTATTTATTTTATTAACAAAATCATATTAAAAATTTTGTTAAATAGTGTTCAATATTTTATAAATTAAAATGTATGAAAAATAGGACATTATTTATAATGTTTTAATATATTTGATAAATATTTAATGATAACGTTTATACATATTTTATATGTGTAATTAAATTAAGATATTTCTATAAATAGTGCATCAATTAGGAAATAAGTACTGCTATGGCTATAGTGTTGCAAATATCAGTCAATACGAGCTCTGAATATGATTAAGAAGATTTCATTGCCGAGTTCTCTGAGGCCGGGCGGCAAAGAATCGGGAAAAGTAGTGAAATACACGCCGTGTAGTACTTCAGGTCGACATCTGGACGACGACTTGGATGAGGTGGCGGTCATCAGTAACGCCGCGCCCGAGAGTATCAGATATGGAAGCGGACAACTGTCCACAGCTAACGGACCCCGTGTTGTGCCCGGAATTATCACTTCTCATTTGGGAGGAGTTAGTATTGTTCAGAGGTATGTCTTTCACACTTATTATTACATTATATTATTATAAAACTCAAAATTGACGTTTTCTGGTTCAATACACTGTTCACTCAAACGGTTAATACAGTTATCAGTTTATTTACCTTTATTTAAATTTTTAATGCATTAAAAAGATTGACATTGCATTGAAAATATTTAATAGATGATGGTCATAATGTCATATTTTTATCGATATATCCAATTAAATGCTAATAAAATTGAGGTTTTATGAATTAATTTTAAATATTGATATTACATAAAAACGGAACTAAAAGTAATTTTTTTTAAATACCACGAAAACATTATTTTATGTCATTTTTCATCAATGAATTTAAGTTTGCATTTTTGTTAATCGGTTGTGAGTTTTATTATATTAAAATATTTGCCAGAAATATCATCATCATTATATTCTGAACTTTGTTTTTGAGAATATAAAACGATTGCACTCAAGTGTATTGTAATTTAAAATAATTTTAAATCCAAATATTATGTTTGAATAACATTATGGCATACATTAAAATATCATCATCATTATATTCTGAACTTTGTTTTTGAGAATATAAAACGATTGCACTCAAGTGTATTGTAATTTAAAATAATTTTAAATCCAAATATTATGTTTGAATAACATTATGGCATACATTGCTATACTTTGCATAATATGTTTCGTTTTAATAAATAATTTAGAAATGAAAAATGAGCCAAAATTAACGCTTAACTCAAGAATTTTATTTTAAAAATTAAATGTTTTTTTGTTAATAAAATATTTGGTAAATACTGTACTATTTTTACAATTTTTAGCAATCATTAACATTAGGACTACAGTATATTTTTATTCAACAAAATTTAGTAAAATTGCTTTAATATTAATTACTGTACTGTATATGCATTTTCAGTTGTTTTCAACGAACTTATATACTATAAATGATTTAAGAGCAAAATTGTCACAAACATTATATAAACAACTATTAAATCGTTTTTGGAGATTATGTGAAGCAAATAAATCTCTCGAATCCATCAATCAATCAAATCTATCAAAAGATCTAAAATTAATTCTTGGGATTCAATTCCTATTGACAGAGATTACAGAGCGATGAGCACTAGTAGTGCATCTGCGAGACCATCGCTATCGCAGATTCAGATCCCGTCAGCGCTGGCGTCGACTAGTATAGTGTCCGCCCGACCCGCGGACGGACACAAACTGAAAGTGAAGTGCGCTTCACGACAATCGCTGATAGACACGGTTACCGGCAAATTCCAGCCCCGCAGGCCACCACAGTCGTCAAACCGGCCTCAGCCTCGAATATACCCTTTACCATCCCCTTCACTATGGTTTTAATTTGGAGCGCCAAGTTACCGGCCATTCTCTGGAAGTCTCTTGTTTTTATTGAAATTTTAAATTTTATTTAACTTTTGAGTTTATTGTGAAACACAAATGTAATACAATACAGTATACACTTGCAAAATAAGTCCCTGTAAAATGAATTGCCGATGTTTCTGATGGTAACTTTTACACATAAATACCAAGAAATTACAGCAAAATATCATTAGGAATTCCCTCTTGTCTTACGGGGAATGGAAGGGAAATGAAATTTGCAAAAAGTTTAAAGTTTGCAGCATTTATAGTGCATTATTTTGAAATTGTTTTATTGTTAAGAAATTGAATTTAAATTTAAATAATTACTTTACCAAACATTATATTTAAATAATTCATACAAAATAATTTGTTAGCACAATCTATATAAGAGTTTTTACTGAAGACTTGAGTTCTTACAAAATATTTAAAAGCGTATAAATAATTAATTTTTGTTTTAATTAAAGGACTGATAAATAGAAGTCATTTGAGTTCAGATCTGGAGATTCCGAAGAAAACGCGAGAATTGAGGCGAAATGAGTTCTTACAAAATATTTAAAAGCGTATAAATAATTAATTTTTGTTTTAATTAAAGGACTGATAAATAGAAGTCATTTGAGTTCAGATCTGGAGATTCCGAAGAAAACGCGAGAATTGAGGCGAAAAGAGATTAAGAAAGAGTTTGAGAGATGGGAGACGTCGACGTCGGCGAGTGATAGGGGCGGCTGTAACTGGTCTTTCGTGTTCGACCCGTCGGGTCGGTTGTGTTACTACTGGTCAATGGTAGTGAGTGTGGCATTTCTGTACAACTTCTGGACCATTATATATCGGTGCGCTTTCCAAGAAATCAGTGAACAGACAGTTAGCACATGGTTTACATTCGACTATTTGTCAGACTTTGTTTATATACTCGATATTGCGGTTCATTTCCGGACCGGATATCTGGAAGAGGGTGTCCTCCAGACGGATGGCGTGAAGTTGAGACAGCACTACATGAATTGCACCATGTTTTACATCGACTGTCTGTGTCTTCTACCTCTTGACTTCCTCTACTTATCCATTGGATTTAAATCAATGTTAAGGTGTTTTCGTTTAGTGAAAATATATAGGTTTTGGGCATTTCTCGACCGCACAGAAAGACACACAAACTATCCAAACGTATTCAGAACTCTCTCTTTAGTACATTATATATTAGTTATATTTCACTGGAATGCCTGTATGTGTCAAATCATTCACGTTAACAATGGCTTCGGATCTCCCGATTGGTTTATCGGCACTAAAAAAGATAACTATTGTATTGGCGTTCAATGCGATTATTTACAGTGAGTTCTCACTTCTTGCGATTCTCGTCGTTGTATTCATTTTGTGAATAAAACTTCAAATCTATTATTACTATTCAATTTCAGTGCAATGTATTGGTCTGTTCTCGCATTGACGACAATAGGTATGTGCTATGAATTGGATTTAATATAATTTAAACATTTTGTATTTCCACGCAATTAATTTAATAATGATATGATATTTGAGGTGATTTGCCGGCTCCGCGAACTAAAAGCGAATATTCATTTCTTGTGATGGAAATAGTTTTTGGACTTTTCCTATTCGCCAGTTTGTTTCATTTTATTATAACTCTTATTCAGTTGATTGTGAATGCATTGTATTAACCAATTCTGTATTGACTGACAGCTGTGTTGGGATATGTGGCCAATATTGTCACTAACGTTTCGGCCGCTCGTAAAGAATTTCAAGGTTTGTCTTTAATAATAGTTTATTTAGTAAATTTTGTTGATTTAAACGAAATTCAATATTTAGATAAGATTAAATTTTCAGTAAACTTACAGTCTGTTTATCAAAACGTAAGTAACACACTGCTGATGACATTATGCATTTGAACAAAAAAATCAAAATCAGCCGTTTGTTGAAATAGATGTCAAACATTTGTTTTAAATAATGATTTTGCTATTAATTTGACTGCTTTTGTCTATTCATATTTTGCTATAAATCATTTTGAAATGCAAACAATAATTCGGTTTTTATTTATTCATTATTTATATTTTAAACAACAATTCATCAATATATTTAGGAAAATTTGATTGTTTATCTGAATATGTATTACAAACTTTGTAATTATTTCAGTAATTGTTATAAAATCTAAACTAAAGTAAAGTAAAGTACTGTATTTTTCTAGCGTTATGTTAAGCGTTAAGATAACATATTGTTAAGCAGCAGAATATTCTGTCAATGCATGCAATTACTGTGTATTGAATGTTGTCTTCACTGCAATGCATTTAATATGTACCGTACAGTAGATGTCAAGTCTCTCTTAATGTCGATACAAAATTTGAAGTGCTTTTCAATTTAATTTAGATTTTTAGTTTAGTTTCCTTAAAAGTATATCAAATTTGATTTTTAAATAAATGATATTATTGTCGTTTATTGTTAAAAATATAATATAAAATTATGGAAATTTATATAAAATAATTATTAAAGTAATTAAATATTGACATTTTCGAATCGTTTGTTAATCAATAAACGTTAAGTAACTTGTGTTCTTTACGTTGTTAATAAATCACGTACTGAACAAACCTCTGTGAAAGTTACAGATTAATCACAAAAAGTAATGTAAAGTAGTGGACATTATTTGACCATTTTTTTTCACAAACATATTTCAATTAAACTTTTATCCAAAATAAACGAATCGAAAGAGAATTATGTTTACAAACAATAATTCCCTTTAGATTTAAAGAGACATTACGTGATGTCTAAGTCTATAAATAATATGAATCTGTGTTGAAATAACAGCCAAATTGGATGCCGTGAAGACATACATGAGGATGCGTCGGGTGCCGGAGCACATCCAGACTAAAGTGATTCGTTGGTTTGACTACCTTTGGATGACTCAAAAGTCGTCCGATGAGGAGAGATCTGTTGGTTGTCTCCCAGGTATCCATTCATTACTATAATTGCATCATTTTTTCAATACTTTCTTCTCTACTTTTTTTTATAACGTTACTACAGAAATACAGAACCACTATTTTCTCATTTTAGTACTTAACTTCTCTCTCTCTCTCTCTCTCTCTCTCTCTCGTATTATAAAACAGGAATTGAACGCAAAAATGAAGAAAAATGGGTTTTCACTTAAGAAATATTTTTGAAAAACTGGTATAAGATATCATTGTGTTGTCAGAAGAGGGAAACGGGAGGTAAAGGGCCCTAAAGTTTGTGTCCACTAGTGGTGTGTGTTTTATTTTATTNAATGAAGAAAAATGGGTTTTCACTTAAGAAATATTTTTGAAAAACTGGTATAAGATATCATTGTGTTGTCAGAAGAGGGAAACGGGAGGTAAAGGGCCCTAAAGTTTGTGTCCACTAGTGGTGTGTGTTTTATTTTATTGATACCTTGACACTAACTATGATGTATGGGTTCGTTGGCCATTGAATGTTAGGTAAAAAAATTTCTTTTAAAATTGTTTTCCCAATTGTTTGTTATATAAGAGGGTAACTGAAAGGACCAGTAGTTTGGTGTGTACTGTATGTCCAATCCATTGACCCATTCTTCTACCCATAGATGTTATGTATACCTGTTTTTTACCCCATTCTTCTGGTGAACCAATTCTTATATAATAGCCATAAGTATTGAATTAAATTTTGAAAGAAAAATAACAATTTCTGTATTTTCTTTGCTATAATTTTTATCGACATTTCATGTAAGAAAACAACATTTTATGCGTTAATAAATAAATATTTTTGATAATTCACTTGAATAGCAAAAAAGCAAATATTTATTTATATGTATGAAAACATATCCATAGATTAGATAATAAATTAGTGGTAAATATTTCTGTCTATTTATATACAATTTATTGATGTATTTACACACAGAAAGAGGACTGTCTGTACATAATATAAATAGTTATGCCATAAATGTCTTTATTATTCATTTATTATTTACATTTACTATTGAAAATAATCAAAAATAATGTTAACAAAAAATTTATATAATAAATGAAAAATATATACCATTTTCTATAGTATTATATATGATATACATATTTTTGTTGCAAAAGCATTGGCTGTTATATAACTAAAAAATAACATCCAAAACACGGCCTAACATATCATTTTTAAACCAATTGTGTAGCACAGTCTCTCTCTCTCTCTCTCTCTCTCCCTCTCCCAGCACTCTCTTGAGCGCCGGGAGGGAATGGCTGCGATTCTACAGTGGAATATCCCCATAGTATATATTTACTGTCAAACCTCTCGGTAAGAATTCTCTTATAGGGAATTTATTGCCTTATCTTGAGTAATAATTTCAATACATTTTTGATTAATTTTAATATAATTTTTAAATAACTTTGATTGTGGTAAATTTGTCACTATATTTATATAAATAGTTACCATATTATAAGTTTAGTAAAACTATTATTCCTGACAGTGAGGTTCAACTGTATTTATATTTTCATATGTTTTATGTATGTGAGGGAACTGTAGTTATGATGTGGAGAGAGAGAGAGAGAGAGAGAGAGAGAGAGAGGGTGAGGGTGAGTAGATACGATGTGTATGCGGTGGTGAAGGGTAGGCTAGCTGTAAGAGAAAGGGGTCAGTTAGCTATAAGTGTGTAATACAGTGTACAGTGCTATACAGTGTATATGCGCTCACTGTATTGCCAGTGCCAGAAGTGGTCAGTGGATGAGTTATTCAGTAATGGTCGGCACAGCTATATGTTGCAAAATTGCGACCACTTTTTGCTGGACATACATCTCTTTCCCCTTTCCCCCATCCTTTCTCTCTCTCTCTCTCTCTCTCTCTCTCCATTGCCTCCCTGTGCTCTCCACTAACACACACCTCGGCTCACATACATTCTGGTGCTCACAATTTCCCGTTTGCTTTTAACCCTTAAAAACAACTGACGCTCACATGAATTGGTAATACACTGTGCATATCGTGTATAACACTGTATACACTTCTCTACACATTTCTAATCTATGAACGACAGTATGTGTTATAAAATATCGAGAATATGCAGTGTATGTAATGTGCGAATATACAGTATATAGATTGTAGATAGTCATTACCAAATGCCATACCCTTCCCACTTTTACCATGCACTTGCACATTTTACAATCGGTCATTGAGAGTGTAATATATTTGGCGGCGGCGGTGGCGGCACCGGGTCTTTATTCTTGGTACGAGATCTCATGAACTGTAAGACCTCTCTCTCTCTCTCTCTCCATAAAAATTTGAATCAAAGATTTATTTCTCTGTCCATACAATGTGTGTGATATTCCTGCCCTTCAAAGAAGAGAGAGAGAGAGAGAGAGCTGTGAATAGCCGTGTTTTGGTTGTGATGGTCACCCCTTTGCAGGAAACCAACAGTGAGACTGACCTAAACATCTCTCCCTTTTATTTCTCATTCAATAATATTCACTCGTTTATACTGTATGTTTGGTTTGCATATTATTTTCCATTAATATTTAGTATGAAATTCAAAATATTTTAAATAAATAGCAAGTTTTCAATTTTAAAATTTCAATTTGAATTTTATTTATTTTATAACATCTTTATCTATTGATACAAATATTATATTTGGAATCTATTTTAACTAAAAATAAAAGATAAAATTACAATTAAGAAATGTATAACAAAAATTCAACATTGATTTAAAACAGCGTTTTAATTGTGCTTGAAACAATTATTGTCGGACATTCAAGTGGTGTTTCTATTATAACAATAATTACATTCATTGATATATAGTTAATGAGAAATAGTATTAGGCATAGGAATAGCAAAAGGAGAGAGCGTTTTATTTGAATAGTCTCTTCAATGGCCAGAGATTTGATGATTGGATGCGTGGAGAGAGAGAGAGAGAGAGAGAGAGAATATGATAATAACGGTTCTCCCCTTTTAATAACATTTTGCATGTCATAATGTGTATTGTATGTGAAACTGAACGAGAGAGAAAGAGAGAGAGAGAGAGAGAGAGACTGTGATGGCGACTCTCCATCATCTCTATAAACATCTCTAAAATGTATTGATCTGTGATTTGAGAACATATTCTGCCATTATTTTTGTGATATATTTACAGCCAATGTATACGTAATGCCTATAGAAGTCTTATGAAAGTCAAGTAATTGTATATTTTATGTCAAGAATATTCTGTACAACACTAACAACAGTAAGACAATTGACAATACAAAATGTATAATACATAATCATTTTGCATGCAAAAAATATTTATAAATTTCTATAATATATTGAGCTGGATTATTTGATATAATGAATTATAATTGAGTGTTGGTTATAATTAACTGATTGTAAAGTTTTAACGTCTTGTTTGAAACATAAGAATGGTCAATTTATTATACGAATCGCCATTAATACCATTGGCTTTATAATCATTAGAGTTGGCGTAAAAACTAATTTACTTATTCCGTGCTTATTATACAATTCATGACCAGATTTTGCTCTCTCTCTCTCTCTCTCTCTCTCTCTCTCTCTTTCTTTCTCATTGTCATGAATTTAAACTAAACTAATTATAAACATGGGATGAAATATAATATATTTATATTTGTGTATTGTATGTGAAACTGAACGAGAGAGAGAGAAATAGTGAGCACTGGGAGTATAACTGTTAAGGTTAACAATTCAGTTTCACATACAATACACAAATATAAATATATTATATTTCATCCCATGTTTATAATTAGTTTAGTTTAAATTCATGACAATGAGAAAGAAAGAAAGAAAGAGAGAGAGAGAGAGAGAGAGAAATAGTGAGCACTGGGAGTATAACTGTTAAGGTTAACAGTGGTGGGAGTGTGGCATCGATGCCAAAAAAATCATTTATCATTTGTATAGCTGCTAATGGATTATAATTCAATGCAAAACAACACTGCATACAATGCACACTAATATCCATGCACTTAAACAATGTGTACATTATTACCAATAGTGTACATTTGGATAGTATTTACAAAAACTAATAATTTCAAACTATCATGGTAGAATATTTATAAACCATTTTCTTTAAAGTTAAAATCAATAAAATATTCTGTGTTTTATTTGTACACTATATCTGAAGCCGTACTGTATGTTCATATAAAAAACATTACTGACATTCAACTACTGGTGTTCGCGACTGCGATAACAATAAATTATATGAAAATTGTATACAAATATATATACATTATAGAAATGTGTTATAACTGTGTATATGTTATATCCAGTATTGTATCCCACCGTAAAACCTGTCCATTTAGTGTCTAAACAAATAAAATACTTATAAAAACAAAACATTATTATATTCATTTTTTGTGTTGGATTTATACCGACAGTACATCTAATAAGAGAGACACACAGAAAATAACAGTAAATTTCCAATAAATCTCTTATCCATATTAGAGGGAGAGGTAGTGATGGCTGTGAGACACTGTGAGGGCTGGAAATCCAGTGCCAGAACTTATTAAATGGTAGACAACATCACAAATATATATACAGATATATGTATTATTTTTGGGATCGATTTTCCAATGGAAATATTGAGAGAGCGAGAGAGAGAGAGAGAGAGAGAGAGAGAGAGCTGGGGAGAGAGATGATGGATGACGTATACAGTGATGGAGTTGGGAGAGCACAGGGCTATCGCCGCATCACATTATACACTACTGTACTGTAAAGTACTGTTAGAGTATAGGAAAAAGGCTGACGATAGAGATATACGGGGAGAGAGAGAAAAATATTAGAAAAATCACATTCAATTCATATATAATTAAAGATAGCGATTCACTGTTAGCCGTACGTAACAATCGACAGTTCCCCTGAGCACCGGCACTACCGGTGACCGGTATTTGATTTCAAGACAACAACAACAACATCACTATCAATACCAGTGGTAGTTGTGAGTGGACTGATGGCAGAGAAATGAGTCCATGAGATACTGTATATACAGACATATTATGAAAAATAAAACTCAAATTACAGTTAACTCTCTCTCTCTCTCTCTCTCTCTCTCTCTCTCTCTCTCTCGTATTTCGTTTATATTTAATATAATATATTAAATGTATATAAAAATAGCAATAAATTTAATCCGCCGTTCATTACATGCTTTTAGTTTAAATGTCAGTCGAGTCTAGCGTTTTATTAATACTATATTTAATATAAGTTTTTGATATGAAAAATGACATTTACTTTATGTATATTGACTGTAAGCC